GTATATGGTGTAAAGTATGGGTCCAACCTTCTTTCACATGTAGATATCCAATTGACACAGCACCATTTATTAAAGAGACTATCAAGATGGGTACAGAGTTTTTTGTTGGGGATGATCAAAGAGTTTTGGGTACACATGGTGGTGACTGTTACATATTGTGAATGTACTTAATGCCACTGAACTGCACATTTACAAATGGTTAAAGTGATAAATATTATGTTATGTATATTTTACCACAGTAAAAATAAACACAAGATATTACTTCATACCCACCAGAATGGGTATAATTTAAAAGATGGTCAACAGGAGGTATTAGTGAGGATGTGGAAAAATTGGAACCCTCATACACTGCTGATGTGAACATAAAATAGCACACTTTGGGGATTCCCAGGTGGTGCAGTGGTTGAGAGTCCGCCTGCCGATGCAGGGGACGAGGGTTTGTGCCCGGGTCCGGGAAGATCGCATATGCCGCGGAGCGGCTGGGCCCATGAGCCATGTCCGCTGAGCCTGCGCGTCCAGATGCTCCGCAACAGGAGAGGCCACAACAGTGAGAGGCCCGTGTACCGCAAAAAAAAAAAAAAAAAAAAAAAAAAAGCACACTTTACTATTTGTAAAATAATACAAAACTGAAAAACAGTTTTGACAGTTGCACAAAAAGTTAAACATAGAGTTTCCATATGACCCAGGATTCCAAAAAGAAATGAAAATAAATGCCCACACAAAAATTTATACACAAATGTTCACAGCAGCAATGATTCATAATAACCAAAAAGTAGAAACAAACCAAATATCCATGAAATGATGAATGTATATTTTTCAGCAATAAAAAGGAGTAAAGTTCTGAGTCATCCTACAACATGGATGTACCCTGAAAATATGCTAAATGAATGTAGCCAATCACAAAAGATCACATACTGTATGATTCCTTTTACAGGAAATGTTCAAAATATGCAAATCCATAGAGATAGAAAATAAAATAGTGGTTGTCAGGATCTGGGGTAGGGATATGGGGGAAAATGAGGAGTAACCACTAATTGGTATAGGCTTTCTTGTTGGAGTGATGAATATTCTGTTGATGGCTGTACAGATTTGTGAGTATACTAAAACCACAAAATTGTACCCTTTAAATGGATAGACTGTGGTATGTGATTTACATCAATAAAGTTGTTAATTTTTAGAAAATGACTTGGACATTAGCTGAGTTGTTCAGAGATCTTTTGACAGCAATTGCACTAGAATTTAGACCTTTCATACAATTTCTACCCTGAACAAGAGTTAGGGGAAAAACTGACTCAAACTAAAAGTTTTAACAAGATCTGAGGATATTACTTGAATATCTTTAGCTTTAAAAGCAGTGAATAGGAAGTAATCGATCTGCTATACTGCTTGAATTTTTTGGTTCAGCACAGATTATAAAACTATGGAATAGAAACAGAAATTAAAATAAATCTGTTATCTATATCTTTTTAAAACTCATCTGTCAAACTAGATAGCTACTTTGGTGCTTTGGAGGCCAAGTAGCAGTGAACACTGATTGACGATATTAAAAATGATGTAGAAAAAGCACAAGTTTCTTCTACCCAGGATCTCACCGTAGGATATCAAGCCTTTCATGAAGCTCTGCTTCTGAAAAATTCCACATTCAGTATTAAAAAAAAGAATCAAGGGCTTCCCTGGTGGCGCAGTGGTTGAGAGTCCGCCTGCCGATGCAGGGGACATGGGTTCGTGTCCCGGTCCGGGAAGATCCCACATGCCGCGGAGTGGCTAGGTCCGTGAGCCATGGCCACTGAGCCTGCGCGTCCGGAGCCTGTACTCCGCAACGGGAGAGGCCACAACAGTGAGAGGCCCGCGTACCGGAGGAAAAAAAAAAAAGAATCAAGTGTCCACACTTCATGTTCACAAGAGCACAAGGTTTTACAATATGGTTTTACAATTTCTGTTATCTACAATAAGACTTTTCCAGCCTTCAACTCTACCTGAATCTTATTATTGTAATATTCTTTCTATTTAACATTAATTGTTTAACAGTAATTTTATAGTGGGACATAGGAAGGATCAATGTACCACACAGTCTGGTATAAAACTTGTGCTGCAAATAAGGGAAGTTAAATGGTATCTACCCTCTAAATTCTTCAGAGATTCCTCTAGGTATCCTCTAAAAGACCTAGACTTTTTAAAGCCACATGCTTCTCTTGACCCTTGGGAAATGTTATTAACATCTTATACTTGAAGAATTTCTGGGAATACAACAAATTTTTGTTCCTTTACAAAAAGAAGAAAAGGGAGGGGAACAAAAAAAATACTGAAACAGGAAATAACACTGGTATCTCTTTTACATCATCTCAAAAAATCATTCAGGCCTCTTAGCCATCTAAGGACATAAAAATTAAGTATATGAGATGACAGGGCATATCCAGCATGGGCACCATAGAATAATCATCTTAGAAGATAAATTTTATTTTTCTGAAAACAGAATCCAAAATTTACCACAACAAACAAGGCACTACTAAAATATAAGACCTTTTCTTTGAGTCCCAAAACAAGAAGATATATTAAAAGTTAGTCTTTCATAAATAAGTATACTGAATACAAAGAGCCACTAAAAATCTCTTGAGTACCATTGAACATTTCTCTAAAAGCAAAAAGGAGGCGATCTCTTTTTTCACAAAAACTTGGATCTAACTTATTTGAGTTAAAAAGCAGAACAGTCGTTCTAAATTTTGTAGAAAACATCCCTTTATAGAAGTAAACAGAATAATCCAAAAGGGGTTGATCAGAAGCGAACTAATTATATAAACAATGCTTAGATATTAAAGTTATATAAAGATTAGCATGAAGAAAGGACTCAACTAAGAAGAAACAAGAGAAAATCAGTAAGTTCTACATTCTGATAGATGAGTAGAAAATAACCAAACAAACCTGTTCAACATCAACTCTAATCCTCCTATCTCAAGACGACTAGCGCTCCTAGTCTGTGTGTACTCATCCTAACATCTGAGTATCTTGTGCTGTATGTGTAACCTAACTCTATGACAGTCTTACCACCCAAAACTACAAATCATTCCTTGTCCCTCTGGTTAAACTTCCTCATTCATTTCTTTCAGTTGATGGATCCAATCCTGGAAATTTTAAACTAATATCAGCTATCAGAATGGTATTATCGTAAATAATAAATGGTAAATATCGTATCTTCTTTAACTATTAAATGATTTTCTTATCATTCCGCAAGACTAAATAAAAGAGATTCAGAAAAGGCTAACATCCTGAGTTTCTAATTTTCCAGTCCGACTTTAACATTTGAAAGTCATATCAATCTCTTTCTTTCAGTGGGCTGATTCCTCAGTGGAAAGATGAGCTATAATCCAGACGTTATAATATAAGCAAATCAGATACTTGTTAATTTAAGAGATATAACTTTGTTGAGATATAACTCTCTAATTGTTCAAGCTTTTTGGAAAATCCTTTAAAGCATCTGTAAAGCATTAAAATTTCAAAACAAAGGCAATTCAGGTCAGCTTCACAAATATCACTTGCCTGAAAAACTTCCATTTAAACTCTTCCCAAACTGACCTAAGAGTTTTAACCGTAAGTCAGTCAGATTTCACTTTTTATTCATGAGGAGTAAGATTCACTTATTCATTTTACAATATTTACCAAATGCTGAATATATTGTGAGTACGTAGTATTGCAATAAAAAATAAATACATAATACCTGACCCTAAGGAACTCACAATCTAATGGTAAAGAAAGGCTGTTAAGTATCCCAGGAATAATCTAGGGAAGAAAGGGGAACCATCCTTATAACTGTGAATTTCCTAATGCTTTTAAATCTCTCATACATGTAATTTTTTTCATCTAATTTTTATACAGTTTCCTTTAGGGTTAAAACTCTTAACCTTATTTCCAACACCTGCTAACCTCCATTTTAAAAAGCAAAGTTTGCTAGAGAATCAGGAATTTCCTGAAGAATACCTTGGGAAAGCAAACACTGAACCACGGATATTCCCTGTATTAAAAGAGAAAGGTGTAATGGTTTTATACAGAATCAAGAGAAAATAAAAATCAGTTGAGGGTGAGAAATATGCATAAATATTTGAAAAACTTAGATTTATTCCATTCGAGGCACATCTATCTAAATTCAATATATTCTATTCACTTTAACACAAAAATTAATAAGTGCAAGTATTATATCACTATCTTTATTTTCTAACAAAAGCATACTAAGTTCCCTCAAAAAAAGAAACCTTTGGAAAGTTTTTATTGGGATGAAGTACATTTTAGCTCAAAGGGAATGAACTTAGTTTTAAATAGGTTAAAAAACAAACTATCCTCAGATGAAGCAGAAATGCAATTTTACTTTGCCCATTGTAAGAAAATCAATTTTCTTCTACAACTTGAATCAGAGTGAATCTATATACCTATATATTGTAATGCAAAGAGTACTGAAATCCAATTTAAATAAGATTCTCATTTCTCTTTTGGTAAAGAGGAAAGGGGAGAAAAACAAAATCTAGGTTTTCTGAGAGAAGACAAAGTCACATAATTCCTATATCTATAGCTAAGCATTCAGTGCTTTAACGAAGCCCATCTACAAGCCATTGAGCTAATCATTTAATTTGTGGACTCCTACTCAATTTTGAGGGAGTTATAAAAAGCAAATCTCTCCAGATAAAAATAAAGCTTACGTCCCTAATCAATAAAAACGGAATCAGATAAAGTCTGCAATGCAATCACTAGCTAAATGGAGTTTTGATAACTGCTGATTAAGGTCTGAGATAGTATTAATGTTTTTACAAGAGCAACAAAACCATCATTCCAAGGGGAAAAGATATATAAACAGATTAGATAATCTTTGAAAATACAGTGTTTGGTTTATCTTTAGAATCTAGTGAACTCAATGCTCCAGGTGATAGAAACCTGAGGGGGAAGGTATGAAAAATCAGAATCAACTTATAAGTAACTTCTCTACTTTTTGATATGTACATCAGAGCTACTCATACCTCTTTTCATGAAATTGATACCTAATCAGTTCTGTCTCCAGCTATTAAGTGCATCCACTCTGAAAAATAGAAAAGGAGGAGATAAAGCAACTCAATTTTGTTAAGCGCTTACACTATGCTATACAGCTCACAAAGATTTTCATTTAGGTATTACTGTCTCCACTGCATAGATAAAAGAACAACACAAAAGTTGGGTAACGTTCCAAAGGTTACAAAGAGAACTGGATTTGAACCCAAATCTAGCCATACATGAGGTAATTCCAAATGAAAGCAAGTTGAGACCGGAGCTCAAACTGTCTGAATTTTATTCCAAAGGACTGGAGAATAATCCATTTTTCCACTATTTCTTTTCCCCAAGAGTAGAACACATCAAATGCAAATGGTCTTCTTACTGAAGTTAAATGACAATCCCTAATTCTTGGAAAACTTCCTGTAATACTGGAAAAACAATGGGTATAGAATAATATAGTTGGGTCCATTTGTATCTTAAGGAAAGCCTGATATTTAATATCTAGAATGGGAACAATTACAGCTCATTTACTCTCCCTTGCCTATAATAATATTCCAGATGTGGAAGTTTTAGCTGATTGTTGCTAAGGACTCCCTCCACATCCTCCTTCCCTAATAAGTCCACTATAGAAAGTGCAATATAAAGAAAAGTGTGAAGTACAAAATAAAATGTCAGGTAAAATCCCACCATGCAGAGATAATCATAGGGGAAAATGTTAGCACGCATTTTCATTGTTTTTAACAAAATCGAATGGTTACTTTACTGCTTTGTAACCTCTTCCCTCTGTTAATACACAGTGAATATTTTCCTGCATCGTTATTTTCCTAAAACAATTTTTAATGGCAGTATAGTATTCCATCATGTAAAGATGCCAGAAGTTTTTTCTCAAGCTAACAGCACTTAACGACAGATATGCTTTTGTTGCAGGAATTGCAGCTGCCTCCTATTAGGATCTGTAGCATGGCTGCTAAATTTTAAAATCAATTTTTATTTATTCAGAACATAAATAGTGCAGAAAAAAAGGGCTATGAGCACTGACTATTACAAAAGATTCACAAAGAGAAATAAGCTGACACACTTAAAGAATTACCAATGCTTGCTTCAGCTGTTAAGTTATAGTTGTCTACAAAACCACATTGGCCAGGGTGAACAACTATAGAATAAGAAAATTCTCAAACTGCCACTGGAAGTGTAAATTAGTAAAACCATTATGGAGATCAATTTGGCAATCATCTTACAATAAAAAATAAAATTTACCTCCTAAAGAAACTCCAGCATATGTGCAAAGGAGACACATTTAAGAATGTTCTAACACTTTTTAATAGCACCAAATTAGAAAAAATTCTAAATACCCACCAATGGTAGACAGATGAATTGTAGTATACACATTCAACTCAAAACTAATAAAATGAAAAGTGAGCATTCCAGATCAGTTTGTTCAACAGAGATATAATGTAAGCCACGAATATAATTTAAAAATTTCTAGAAACATTTTGAAAAAAGAAAAAGCAGGTGAAATTAATTTTAATCTTATTTAACCCAATATATGCAAATCATCATTTCAATATGTAATTAATATAAAATAATTAGTAATAAGATATTTTACATTTTTTTTGTACTAAGTCTTTGAAATCCTCTGAGCAAATACACTTCCAGCACATCTTAATTCACACTGGCCACATTTCAGGTGCTCAACAGCCACAGGTAGTTAATGGCTATTATATTGAACAGTGCAGATCTAAAGTTACCTCAAAATCCCCAGAACAATACTGAACCAAAAAAGGAAGTTGCAAAATCATATGTATTATATGGCATCACTTAAATAAACTTATAAAACTAAAAAACTTCTAAATTATGTCTCTGGGAACTTCCCTGGTGGCACAGTGATTAAGAATCCGCCTGCCAATGCAGGGGACACAGGTTCTAGCCCTGGTCCGAGAAGATCCCACATGCCGCGGAGCAATTAAGCCCGTGCACCACAACTACTGAGCCTGCACTCTAGAGCCCATGGGCCACAACTACTGAGCCCGTGGGCCACAACTACTGAAGCCCGTGTGCCTAGAGCCCATGCTCCACAACAAGAGAAGCCACCGGAATGAGAAGCCTGTGCACCGTAACGAAGAGTAGCCCCCGCTCACCGCAACTAGAGAAAGCCCACGTGCAGCAACAAAGATCCAATGCAGCCAAAAATAAAATAAATAATTTTTTTAAAAATCTGTATTGGGGGCTTCCCTGGTGGCGCAGTGCTTGAGAGTCCGCCTGCCGATGCAGCAGACACGGGTTCATGCCCTGGTCCGGGAAGATCCCACATGCCACGGAGCGGCTGGGCCCGTGAGCCATGGCCACTGAGCCTGCGCGTCTGGAGCCTGTACTCCGCAACGGGAGAGGCCACAACAGTGAGAGGCCCGCGTACCGCAAAGAAAAAAAAAATCTGTATTGGGACTTCCCTGTTGGCACAGTGGTTAAGAATCTGCCTGCCAAGGCAGGGGACACCGGTTCGAGCCCTGGTCCGGGGAGATCCCACATGCCGCGGAGCAACTAAACCCATGTGCCACAACTACTGAGCCTGCGTTCTAGAGCCCGTGGGCCACAACTACTGAGCCCATGTGCCACAACTACTGAAGCTATGTGCCTAGAGCCTGTGCTCTACAAGAGAAGCCACCGCAACGAGAAGCCCACGCACCGTAACGAAGAGTAGCCCCTGCTCGCAGCAAGTAGAGAAAGCCTGCACACAGCAACGAAGACCCAACACAACCAAAAAAAAAATCTATATTGATAGTTCATAAGTGTGCATGTATAATCTATCTCCATATTTGTTGCCAGAAAAATATGTTTATACAATTCACTAAATATCTTCTTGTCTTGTGTTATTAGCTTAGTTTTATTCTAAAAGCACTTAAGGGCAGAACCTAGGTATTTCTGGTTTTATTAGACTCAGTACCAACAGTACCTACTTTAGCAAATAAACACTATTCAGAATTTGTCAGAAAACGTCAAACTTTCCAAAACAATGAAGAAACAATGGAGGACTGAACAAATTCCAGTCTACTGTTTTGAATACAAAGATATAAGTGCTCTAATGCAGGTAAAAAGATGCAAGTTTGAGTAATAAAGCAGCAACATTTGAATAAGACCTACATTTTACCTTATGTATAAATAGTGATCTCTGCGTAACATTCAGAATTTTTTAATTGCAATAACAGTCACCATGTTCACATGGGCCAAATCAGTAATTCCCAGTAGAAACTTCAAGAAATGTTTCATTCTATTTGGCACACTGATTAAATACAGTTCATTTCATCAATATGCCACACCCCATCCCCACCCAAACGCAGAGGCTTCAAATGGAGAAAGGAGGCAAAGAACGTGGCAAGATCAAGAAAGCAGGGGACTTCCCTGGTGGCGCAGTTGTTAATAATCCGTCTGCCAATGCAGGGGACACAGGTTCGAGCCCTGGTCCAGGAAGATCCCACATGCCGCGGAGCAACTAAGCCCGTGCGTCACAACTACTGAGACTGCACTCTAGAGCCCACAAGCCACAACTACTGGGCCCATGCACTGCAACTACTGAAGCCCGCGTGCCTAGAGCCCATGCTCTGCAATAAGAGAAGCCACCGCAATGAGAAGCCTGTGCACCACAACGAAGAGTAGCCACCCCGCAATGAGAAGCCTGTGCACCACAACGAAGAGTAGCCACCCCCCCAAAAAAAGAGTAGCCCCCACTCGCCGCAACTAGAGAAAGCCTGCACGCAGCAATGAAGACCCAACACAACCAAAAAAAATAAATAAGTAAATAAATAGTTGCCTATGTGCAGCAAATTCAAGTTTTGCTTTCTGGAACTTTTTTCCCCAAATATTTTCAATCGAGTTTGGTTAAATCCACGGATGCAGAATCCAGTATATTTGGTATAGTTGAGCAGACTCAAATATCTGTCACGCCCATGCTCAAAACATCCAGGGGCTTCCCATGTTTATAAATAAGGATAAAGTGCAAATGCCTAAGCAAGAGAGACTGCCCTGGTGGTCCAGTGGGTAACACTCCATGCTCCCAATGCAGGGAATCCGGGTTAGATCCCTGGTCAGGGAAGTAGATCCCCCAAGCATGCCGCAACTAAGAGCCCACATGCTGCAACTAAACATGCCGCAATGAACATCCCACGTGCGACAACTGAGACCTGGCACAGCCAAAATAAATAAATACATATTTTTAAAAATCCTAAGCAAGAATTTGAAGGTCTCTGCAAAATAATTCACAGATGACTTTCCAATCTCATCTGACCACAACTCTAAGCTCAAAGAAGGTTCTCTTTCCCCTCTTCACCCACTGAATATTGTTTTACTTCTCTTTAAGAGCAACACATTCAGCTTATAGTTCCTTGTTTAAAACTCAAGAGTACTCCCTACTGGAGTGTAAACGCCTCAAAGGAGGAAACTGGTCTGAGTTCACCTCTTTTTCCCATGTGAGAAATAACAAATTTCCTTGAACAGAGGAATACTAAATGTTTATTAAGATAAAGATAATGCCTGCTCAGGGATTCCTTAAGAGAAAAGAGTGTTGATTTGTTGAGCATTTTTTAAAAGCCCTGAAGTCATTTAGTACAATCAAATATTTTCCCTTCTATCTCTAAATTGAAATATTCAATAAGCTGTGTTGGATGCTCTACAGGCAGCCTTCGAAAGAAATGCATTATTTCATATACTTAACAGTAACAGGTCCAGTCACTGTAATATGAAACATTTACTCTTAGTTCTCTATTTTTAGGAGATACTCAGAAAACACAATGAAAATTCATAAATAGGGTGTTTTGATTTTGAATGTTGGGGGTATCTGAGGAAAGGGGAAAGGCAAGAAAAATAAGAGGTGGGCAAATTCTCTCTAACTCTACAGAAATTAACCAAGCCTAGCTTCAAAATCTCTAAAGTGGGCTGATAATATTAGTATTAAAAGTAAAACCATTTTTAAAATATACTAGGGACTTCCCTGGTGGTCCAGTGGCTAAGAGTCCACCTTCCAATGCAGCAGACAGGGATTCGAGCCCTGGTCGGGGA